ATAAATTAAGGAAACACTGTTTTGCAAACCTCGCTAATTACTCCTTTGGTGTGTTTCAATGAGTTTGACATTTTTACTACTTCCAAAAGTGATTAATCTGTTTCTTCCTCATAATTTCCGTCTCTCAAAGTTCAAGAATTAATTTTTTATTACAAGTTACAGCCAAGTATTACGCAGTCGAAACCTTGCTTAGGTTGTAGTGAGAAGTTTATCGGTCAGTACTGAGCAACGAAATGTAGTCAGGTGGTGGATCCCAGCGAATCTTAGACATCATAAATGTTGTTTATCGTACTGATCATGGAAGAATGGAAGTTGGATGCAATATTGGTTATGCTACTTATTGCAGCTAGTGAAGTAGCTTGATAGGAAATTCATTTGAAAGACGTCCCTTCACTCAATTTTATTATTAAATTAGTTTGAGAATACAAAAATGTCTAAGCCCCTGCCAAGATTAAACCTGGCATATTTATGATTAGGTAATCTGAGTTTTATTCCTATTAGTATATGTGTAGGCTTCGGGATAAGTAATTGAGCGATATATGGTAAAAATGATCCACTCAGTACGTGTATGTTTTTGTAAAACCATTTTAACTAGGTTGCAAATGTCATATTTTTTAACAGTTTGTCTAAACAAGGCAGTTGTTGGAGTTTTCGTTCGCACTTAGTGTAATTGTAGTGTGCGAACAAATATGTTCATCCAACACGGTTTGTCTCAGTTTTTGGACAAATTAAATAACTTTTTCTGCCCGAGTCATTTTTCACTCATCTTTCGACCTTGTCATTTTTTCGCTTATAACCTTGGCTCAGTCGCCTCCACTTCGTTTCAACTTGTCTTCACGCTAATGTCTGCTTGCGTGAACGATCTCATTAAAATAAATTCATCCGCAAAACCGTATTCGGCTTCTTATTATCACTATCACACAAACGGGGTCGTCCTATGTATGACATACGGAATTTGAAGGGGAGATTTATTCCATAACCTACTTGACTCTTCTTCCAAACTGGATTCAGATCGCGGGCCACTTAAGAGGTGAGCCCCACTTCGAATTCAACGCAGTTACTAAGAGTTATTAAGCGTTTCATCTAACTCGTTTTCAGTCAGAGAAAACTTAGACTATTTTTATCTTCGAAGTTTTAATTAGATATGAGATGCACATTGTAAATTTCCAATTCTTCAGAGGTGTTAGTGTCTGTTTTGTAGTTCAAAATGTCTTTGGCACAATTCAGGATATCACGAGAAAGAGAGGACTCCACTACAAAATGCACCTCAAGCGACGCGATCTAATTTGTAAACAGTACTATATCAAGTTATGTCTTATATTCAAAGCAACAGGCATAAGTTCATGGTAGACTATAAAAGTGCGGGTTTTTGGATCATTTTGTATAAAATACGCAATATACAGAAACAGTGAGGGTTAGTTTTTATTAAAGTCATGAATCGACCAATGTTAGACTACCATTTTAACTCTGGACACTAAACTCTGGCACCAAACGACCATTTTACCTAGTATGGGACTCATTAACAGCCGTCTCTGACGAACACCTAACCTCTAGATCACTAAGCCAGCATCTGACAGTGTTAATGTCTAAGTTTGATCAATCTTTGGTATCGCACGTACTCATCCAATGTCTTTGGTGGTCGACAGCTATACATTCGACTCATTTGAACTCCACTGGTCATGGCTTCTATCTAGGACTCTGAGAATTTCCTCTCGAAGCTAGTCACTAGTCAGCAGATGATGATTTTCATTATAGTTCTGTGGCGATCGTTGAGCTTCATTGAAATCATGAATCGAACAATGTTAGACCACCTTCAGAAACCTGGAAGCACTGGACAGCCGTTTCACCTAAGTATGGGACTCATCAGCAGTGCATATCCACAACCCATGCTTGCGGGGATCGAAGTTAGACATTAATATTGTCAGATGTCAGCTTTTTGGTAAAGGGATGAGGGTTCGCGCTCAAAACCGAAGGTCCTGGGTCTGACTCCCGCACTCAGGGGTTGTGAATACACACTTCTGATGAGTTCCATACTAGGATGAATCAGCCGTCCGGTGCTCTCTTTTTTCGCATCCGTTGTTTTAGTCGTCCATACCTAACCTAAAATGTTCACTACTTTAGGTTTGCCCGTATTGTAAATCTTTCGAATGATCCAAGTCCTGGTTATAACATTGAAAAATTAGCCAAGGAGGGATCCAAATTTTTTGAGTTACCATATGCAGTTAAGGGTATGGATGTTTCTTTTGCTGGATTATTATCATTTCTGGAAGAGCGTGCACCGAAGCTCTTAGACACTGGGGAATATTCTGTGGCTGATTTGTGCTTTAGCCTCCAAGAAACAGCTTTTGCTATGGTTGTAGAAATTACTGAACGAGCTATGGCACATTGCGGTGTAAACGTAAGTTTATTTGACTGTAAATGTTACTAACTTGCTTTTGTACGTGATTCACTTTATGCTACAATGACGATAAACTATCAGGAAAAAACAAGCTCAGTTTTTACTATTTCTCAAGCTATGCCATAGTTAGTCACTGAGTTACTATCATGTATATATATATATGTATATTAGTAGTAGTTTGGTTTGATTTTTTTTGTTTGGAAACTAGTTATGGCTTTACTTTGAATTTTTCTGTATGTTGTACCATATATTTAATTGGTTTGAAAACAAAAATTTCTCTTAGTTATACATTTCACCTCACTTTATGGATAAATGTGGGTTTTTTGTTATTACAAGATTGTGTTTCATAATGATCACTCAAGATTTTTTACATCAAGCAATTCATCATTGTTTCAAAAGTAATGCAGATGGATCTTATTTCGGTTACATATGATGACCCAACTTTGTTTTGCTTCTGTATAAGATCATTCCGTGAATGTGAACTTATTAACCGTGTTGTATGCAATCTAGAAATGAGGCACTTCTATGGAAGAGTATAAACACTGAAGTTACCCATCCCTGAATCATTAGATGTCCTGAATCTAGTTTGACCATAAAAACTTAAGTTCTATGGAAATCTGTTCCTTCAAATAAGTGAATAGGAATCATGCTTCAGCACACGCAAAGTCAGTCAACAGATGTAAATCAAACAATATATTTCCAGTTAACTCCAGTCGTTCTAAATAACTGGAATTCCAAAGAATGCTTCATATAAGTTATGATAAACTATGACATACGGATTATGTAATGCTTGATGAATTGAGAAAAGAGACAAAATACTGAAGTAGTATAACTGGAAGGTCATTGCGATAAAGGAACACAAACTGGTACAGTAGTAAGTCATCAATTGTGTGTTCGTAGATAACCCAAACTATTGAATATTTATAAGTAATGTAATGTAGCGTACCAAGAGAGTAGTTGTAGAAGCCATTCAGTCGAACTGATAAACATGTTTAGCATTCTCCGTGTTATGTCCACAACTAACCAATCAAATCGTGGTTTAAGCGCTCACCACGTGATTCGGTGTGATGTGTCTGTAAGCTATGTCCCTTGCATGTGACCTACCAATTGAAAGACACTATAATCCTATTGTATTAATAGGTGTCGTAATATTGTAAAATTAATAATTAGCTATGACCGGACTATAATGTGAACGGAGTAACATAATCAAAATTTTTATTTCGTGACGATTGTACAGCCTGATAATAAATTCGTTGAACTTCGTGCTTTTGTTGATTCTGTTTAGGCCAGACTGGACAAATATACATGATACTATCTGTTGCACTTGAAGGTTACGTATTTGGGTTTATGCTGGCAGTCATTCTCATTTTTGCCATGACTGGATCAAAGGTAGAATTAAGTCAGTGTGAACATCGATCAGTATAGTCTCGTAAATATATGGTTAAATATTGCACCATCAAATTATACGAGTTTAATCGTTAAATGACTATGTAAATCATATAAAACGTTGTACATGCATATACCATTTCGATTTATTTTGAGGTTCAAATAAATTCTTAGCACCGATCTTTATTTTCTTAATACACGTCGTTAGATTCGCGGTCTACAATATTAAGTACGAATCAGTTAGGTATATCTGCAGAAATATCCGTGACATAATAACAATTGTCATCATATATTCTCTGAATTACTAACCATTTAATCTTATTACACAAGAATAAGTATTTTACCTTTCGAATTTCTCAGGAGGTTCTGATTGTTGGTGGTGTTGGTTGTAACCTGCGTCTACAGGAGATGATGAACTGTATGGCGGAAGAGCGTGGTGCTAAATTATTCGCAACTGATGAACGATTTTGTATTGATAATGGTGCTATGATAGCGCACACTGGATGCCTAATGTTTGATTCTGGTTTAACTTTTCCTCTGAAAGACTCCATTGTCTCTCAGCGCTATCGTACAGATGCTGTCGATGCAGTTTGGCGTGATGAATAACATCTCCATATGTACATATTTTTAAATATACTGTTATTCTGACAATCCAGTATTTTTTCATGTAAACTCTTTACTTAGTTGTGCATACTATTGCTAGATAGGTAAATAGGCAGGCACATAAATAAACCGATCATTCATTGTCTCTTGAGGTACGCTCATCTTTTTATTCATGAATTGTTATTACTTGCTTCTGGAATGAAAATTGAGTTTAGTTTTTTGGTAAGTAAGGTGCAAGTCGTTAAGTGTCAAGTTGTTTTTAATCTAACTGCTAAAAGCAACTAAGCGTATGGTAAAAAAGCGGTTGAAGTTATTGGAGAAAATAAATTAGTATGAGAGAAATAAACGACTTTTTTGATTACTAAATAAAGTAGGGTTAGATTATCACTTATCTAGCAGTGAATATTCATGTTAATGATACTTGAAACGAACGGGCTTCGCAAATAACTCTTGTAGAATTCGTATTCACATAGTTATTTAGTCATAAATGTGGTTTCAAAAGTATGAGGCTTTTCACATATTTATTTGGGAGTGTTTTTCTCTCGCTTTAACCCTTTGTTATCCTCGTAGTGATTTCGACGCTCGTATAACTTTGTTTTACCTTCCAGGACACATGGGTATCCGAGGGTTGTGGACATACATTCAAAGTAACAGTGAAAACTTTGCCCCTTATGAGTTGCATAACCAGCCTTTGATTATTGATGCCGAAAACTTTGCTTCTCTTTGTTATCGTCAAGCTGCTTTACGATGTGAATATGGTGGGGAGTATTTGGCATTCAAATGTTATGTCCACTCATTTCTGAGACAATTTCGTATCTGTCGTGTGGATCCAGTATTCGTTTTCGATGGTTGTCATCCTAAAGAGGTATATCTTCATGATCAAAATCCTTTTATTTTCTAACTGCTCACATATTTTTTCACCTCACTTCAATCGTCAGGCATTCGTTTAAAATAAGAATATGGTAATATTATGTAGTATGTATTTTATCCCTGTCGTACATAATATCATTCTTCATGTAAACAGGTGTCACATTATAGAAGAGATAAGTATATAACTTGACTGCATAATTAAGGATGAGTTTACTGCGCAACAGTTCACTCCTTCCTATAATATAGATGTGAAACGTGGCCAGTAAGAATAGAGGACATTCGTATGTTACTGGTATTCGATCATTGGTGTCTTCTAAACATTGCTCATATATCCTGGGATAAGTCGAGTAAGCAGTGCTGTTGTTAGGAAAAGGGTACTAGTTAAGGATGGTAGAGCAATTGATGAAGTAGTGAAACTTCATCAGTTGAGGTAGTTAAAACATGTGTTACGTGTGCCCAACCACCCAGTGCCTCAACAAGCAGTCTTCTATGGTGTAGGATTAGGGTGGAAGAAAACTAGGTGCGGCTAGACCAAAACGTGGCACATCCATAAAGTCACTGACAAGTGGACTGAGTCTTGTCAGTCGGTGTAGACTACCTGGTTAAAGACCGTGAATGACATGTCTCGAAATCGTTTGCGACGGCGCAGGTGCATTCAGTTGTGTCTCTGTGCTAATGTGGTATGGCAACTTGAACCAATGTACGTACATACGATGTTGTACGTTGTAGCTGACTAACTCACTGCATAATTAATTACATAGTCAGAAAATATTTTCAAGCGATATCGTCTGTTTATAGAACGTCCATTTGGCTGAATGTGAAGAGCTTCACCAACCATTTCATGTTTTCGGTATTTCGCAACCAGGTACAGAGCGTAATGTTTCGTATTGAGACGAATTACAAGCGAAAACCTATATAAATCAAAATATTCATACGGTCTCACTTATACCTAGAAATCTCGCATGAGAATAATTTACATACTTAACATGAGATTTAGCAGTTACTTAGTGTTATTCGAGCTTTTATACTTAGTAATTAATGTTTTAATACCTCTCCAGATATCATCCATCATATGATCGTTATCCCTTTGTTTATCAGTATATTTCCTTGGCTGATAATAAAGTGTTTACAATCAAATGTAATGGATAAATAAAGCTCAAAGACTAAAGATTTTGGGCTATATATGTATTTCAAGTTCGTAACATAAAATGACTCATTTAATGAACTATGGAATTTTTCTTTGTTTTCCTAAGGGATCGAAATTGGATACTTTGTTGAAGCGAAACATTAATAGGTGTAAAAATCTCTCATCAGCTCTACTGAATGTTAACTCAGTTTCTAATCCAGGTAGATCAAATTTGAAGATCAATATAATTCCACCGCTTTGTGGGCATGTCCTTGTGGAAATTCTGCGGGAATCTTCAGTTCGATATATAGCATGCGAACGTGAAGCTGATATTAATGTAGCAGAACTAGGTATTTATCTTCAATGTCCTGTTACTAGTGGGGATTCTGATTTTTATATTTATAGACCAATCGATAATAATCAAGTTTATAAATTTATCCCATTTTCATCTCTTGTACTTGATTCTAGACAGAAATTCCCCCCTTGTTCTGTTTGTAAGCTCAATGGTACTCAATGTTATTTTATACCATGTACAGTTCTTAGTGATTCAGGACCGTTTTACAAACTCAAGTATCCTATGCTACCACTTTTCGCCATTCTCGTTGGTAATGACATGACATCAAACATTCGTCTTCCAACTACCATCGATTCTCTAATCCGTACTTCTGACCTGCAGAACACGTCCTACTATCAAAGACGTATCCATGCCATATTTAACTGGCTCTTATCTTTCCGTGACATTAAACAACCTGTGTCATTAATTCTATCGCTTTACAGCCAAAACGAAAGGGATGGCATTGAGGAGACAATGCTTCTGGGGATTTCGGGTTATTTTTTGAATACTTCAGGCAAGGACCTGGCTCAGATATTAGGCTTCCCAACTAAAAACAATGTTTCATTAAGCGTCCCACCGTCAAGCGAACTGGGGAACCCGGATATTCAAAATTACACAAATTCATGGCGTTCTTACTTCGGTTCTTTTAAATTTTCGAAACCTGTATTGGAGCGAAATACAGATCAAGATAGTATATTTCATAATTGGCCGAAAGAATTGGTTAGGCGATTTCGATTTTTGGAATTAGTCCCAGGTATATTGGATCGTATGTATGTACGAAATGGTGTTGTTACTCGCATAGTAGTGGAGGATATACAGAGTTCTAATTCAATTGACGAATGTATGTCTAAAATGGACAGTGTTTTAGATGGACTTATATATGGCCTTGAACACCACCTACGCACCACCATAAAATTATGTGGAGTGGAGAATGATAGTGTTACTGTGTACAGAATAAGTTCAAATGGTCAGTTGACAAAGACTTTGGTCTCTGTGAAACCTATAAAACCCGTTTGTGCTGAAACACCTGAATCATCTTTCTTATCATTTTTCTCACAGTTTTTTAATGTGAATTTGGAAAGAGATTTTAAGCCTGTTGAAATACAGGGTTTAGGTGTTTTATTAGTTCTGTGGTTCAGATTTTCTTCTCATGCTCAAAACGTAGCTAGAAACATTCAAACATCACCAGTTGGACTTGCGTTATCATGTTGTGCAGTCGCTGTCAACTCAAACTGTGAATTTAGTAGAAATCGTACTGTTGCAGATTTTGTGAGCTCTGTTTGTACTCATCTCAATAAGTGTGCTAATTTAGCAAAATCAATTTATTGCCAAAAGCATTCACCTTCTTTTTGTATCGAGGATGTTCACCAACTTAATGAATTGCAAAGTATGGCTGCTAGATTAAATCATTTAGTTGCACTTGTTGAAGTACTTTGTCCGTTTTATGCATCAAATATAGAAGAAGTTGATCCTTCGCGCTTAAGAAATCCTTTCATAGGCTTTTTTCCACTTTGGACGTTATTTGCCAGTGGACATCTTTCATATTGGATTAGTCGGATTCTACAAAGTGTTGATCCATCGGAGCGTTTCCATATGATCGTAAACGATTGGCTTCCGAAATTGCTTATAGAAACGGATTCTTTTAGAGAACGACAGAACTGCGCTAAAAATGATTTTACTAAACTTTTCAACCTAATTAATAAGTTGAGTTGATAGAATTTGTAATTTCTTTGATCTTCTCTGATATTCCTTATTTCTGATAGATTTTTATTTGTAATAGTTGTCATCTCACTCATATATAGATGAATAACATTTGCACGATTTATTTTTAAACTGTTCACATCATGTTATCTCCTAACTTACATACTCGCACCCTTATTTGTTTAATAATTATAATCATCCACATATTTTTATACATACTTCATTATTTTGTGCTGAGTTTTTGTTTTGACAAAAGTAGTAAGGATGTAAACAAGACTCAGTTTCTAGGAACGTTTAATTGACAATGTAAAAACTACCTCCACAACTATTTGGATCCAATTACTTACCGTTCACAGTGAAACAGCGGCTTTCCTATGAAAAGCCTAAACACGTGTTTTGAAGGTGTTGTGTTTGTTCATCTAGATGATTGCTTTGAAGTATGTTTTGATGTTGTCTAGAGGGATAATGCAGACCTCATAACTAGGTCATTTATCTTCACACCTCCGAAATCTTCATTTTAAGCTACTAATACTCACCAAAATAACCGTCAATGTTTGCTTCTAAGATAGTGAATAGTACAGTCAGCATAATATGGATTTTGTTTGCTTAGGTGATTCACCTTGCAAGTTATGATTGATACGATTACAGGTTGAAAATTTTCTCTGGGTGGAATGTAGCTTCAACTACTTGGTTCCACGAATGCCACGTGGTCAACTCGTTTAGTTTTATGTGAATCATTTCATCCCAGTTTTTCGTTTTCATATTCATAACTATTCAAATGTCAGTTTAAAGGAAACCTCAGTAGGAAGTAAAAAAAAACAAATGGCTTTTCGCAATGATTTCTGGATCAATATATTTTTCTCGCATATACGAAGATGATTAGGATGATTTAGCGTCTAATGCAGCTCCAACTTGTACGGTACGTTGTTTAACCATTAGGAAAAGGATATTTGTAGTGAGAAATTGAAAAACGTAAGTTATTTCATGTAAGTTGACAAATGGAAGTGATTGTTAGATACCTGCCATTTAAGACTCACCGCATCTATGTTCAAAAGAGGAACTTAGCCTTACCCAGCGAGTAAAGTCCACCTAACATTTCGCACCATACGATGCAGCTACTTCAGGTGTATAGTTTGTGTCGAGAGAGTAAGCGTGATCTTGAACAGAATAAAAATACTCGGTGCCCTAAGTAATATGAAGAATATTCGAGGGATACACTCATCATTAAGATGACTCTGTGTATACCCGATAGATACAGTACTAATAACATTTTTTCAGAGAGCAGCTTGTTTATTTTAGTGACTAACATAACATAGCAGGTCGAGAACAGAAGTGTTAGTACAAGTCGTTCACACTCCTATCAATGCTGACCTTAATAGTTCCACTAACGATGACTGGGCTTTAGTTTTTGTGGGTACCCGGAGCGATGTTTTTTTGCCAGGTCAGAATCGATTATGACTGACATCAATGCAATTATTCAAGACAACTTAACACTGGAAGTAGTACAAATATCAATACCCTGAGAGCCATAGGCAGCTTATTCGATGCTCGGGTTTGGTCGGAGAACTAACAGTTCGCTAAGTTAAGCAGATTTTTGGCCCTTGCATTGTATGTGAATCGTCTGCACTCCTGAATTGCCAAGGCTAGATTAACTGAAGTGGGTTAAGGTATACAGGTATGTACCACTGATCTGCAGTTTATGTTTCTTAAGATTATGAACTAATCGAATAGTGAGCGAGATGCGCAATCTAGCGTACTCTGGTTTCGTCGTAAACTTACTCATATCGTATGCATTTTTGGATCGAGTATTCATGGTCACATGTGCACGGAACACATTTTCCATTTAGCTGTTTTTCCTTTAGAATAAATCGGCGCAAGTTCTCGACACACAAACAGTAAGTTAATTACGAAGGAATTTTCAATCCTAGGGCAGAACTAGCGCTCCTAGACTGGATCCCATTAGATAGTCGCTTTGCTCCGTCCGACTAAACGGGACAGTAAGGACTCGAAAAGATAGGGACAATCGCCGTTGCCTCTTCGTCGTATCTGCTTACGCTCCCACTGACTACAGTTCAGACGAGGTGAAAGATGAGTTTTATAGAAAGCTTTCGGACCTCATCCAAAAAGTTAGGCACTCTGATATAGTAATAATGGCTAATGACTTTCATGCTCAAGTAGGTAGACTTAGTGCAAAGGAAAGACACCTGGGTGGATGTTATGGTGTCGCGGCTCAGAGAACAGACAATGGCATACCAAACTATTGTTCAAAAACTCATTTCATTTCCATAGATATTTCATGTCATTTGAAATACACAGCAAAACATTTCCTGAATATAAATATCATCGACATTCTGGTTTATTAATTCATAGTTTAAAACCTCTGGTGCTCCATGCTTTTAGGTTTGCTGTGATCAAACAATACTTACCGATGGTTGATCAAGCTGGTTTGGATATATGGACCTTGGAATCTGAGATTCAACTTTTTCACGCGATATTGATTCGTAAAACTGTTGGCGCAGATGGCCACTTTCAGATGATATATGTGTCCAATCTTGTAAACTCCTTTCTGAGTGATACAATTAGTACAGATGAGATTTGGAAAAAACTAGGATCAATATACAATATGGAAGAGCTGGTAATTAAACTTTTATCTCACTGCAGCATATTCATCTAGCATGACTCTGAAATTAATCCGTTTCAAGCAAAGATGAAAGAATTCAACCTTCCAGAGGAGTGTAATGTCTCCACATATATTCCAGTTCTCTTACATCTAACTTGGTTAAGCCCTTTCGATTAATTGATTTAGCCAAGCCATTTGTATAGCAACAACTCATATGTACCATTGGTATTTTTTATTATCCGGTTTGTATGAGCTTATACGACTGAGCATTGTTTACGCCTACGCGATTATTCATTCTCTTCTCTTTAATGGTAATCTGTTAATTTTCCCATGAACTCACATGATTTGTATCGCTTGCTTTTGACCTTGTCACTCATTCGTCGCTTTTGTTCATGTGTGTGCATACCTATTTCGCTTGTCATGTGTCTGTCTTATTTATGCCTCACTATATATTCTTAGTCATGCTCCATCTCTTTGAGTTGGCTCTTACCCTTTTCCAATCCGCTTCGACATGTGATGAGTCCGGAATAAACGTATCCATCAATACCAGTTCACCTTCTGATTTATAAACCGAGCTTGAGAACACGCAGTTATCCGGCACACTACAGGAGTATGACTCTTTAAAATCTCTAAAGTATCCTCGTGTTGCGGCACAAAGTGGCATATCTGTTCCTCGATCACCTCGCACTGGTAATTTAATACTAAAGTTTGCCGTTTTGCTGTTCACTTAACAAATATTGTTTCTACCATTTTCTTATACATATCGTTGTGATATTTAGAGTAGGTGATACAAAACTGCCGTTCTAGTTATCTACAGATGCAGAAGTACTAAAAATATATCCTTGTTTTAAGGATTATTTCACCTTTATTCAAGTTATTATATCCATTCGTAATTACAGAACTTGGTTTTGAAATAGTGTTCATGTGGCACATGGTAATGGCCTACTAAATAACTATCCGTTGGTAAATAAGGTATATTCCCGTCTTGGTTTCTGATTCGAAACATTGTAAAAAAGATTAATTACTGTACCTTATTCATGGTAAGAACTTTTCCATTATCCATAGTGTACACTATTTCTCTGTAATAAGTGTTTCTGTGAAATTCTCTTTTAGATTCCTCTGGTCAAAAACGAACGAGAAAGTCTTTGCGATCAGTCGACTCAAACTCAGCTGCCAGCAACGTAGTCCCTTCAACTAACTCATCGGTTAATACAATCGTTAGTTCTGTCACTTCACGAGAAAAAAGACGGTGATTCGTGTTTTCACATTGAATACGTGATTTTTTTTGTATCATTTACAGAATTTTTTGCAATAAATGTTTGTATCTTATCGATTGTTTTGGTTTTCTCTCTCCTGTAATAATTGTGCACAAGTTGAATTTTTCCACTAAAATGTCGTTTTTGAGTAGAATATGGTTATGTCTAGCAACATATTTAACATGATTTTAAAATGATCACTTGTCGTAATCGCTTCCATATGTAATACTTATAATTCATAACGTATTTAAAATATGTATCTAGTAAATTCAACATCCTAGTGTTTACTAAGATAAATCATAACATGGTTAAATAGCAGATTACCCTATTTGCGTGTGAGATCACACATCCTGAAGCCAGTTACACGTAAACACTTCAAGTGGATAATTGATGCTGTAGTGTGTATCATCTGGTGTACATCACTTACTGTACAATCATGCGTGTTGTGCCGAATACAGCGGATTTCCTTAAGTTTATTCCTTAAGGAACCAAAGCGGATAACCTGGAGTTTCTTATTGCAAATTTCATCAAGATTCTTTGCCTAAGTAAGTATTCCCTTAATTGGGTTTTTCGTGGTTCATTAGTTTCTAGAGTTGTTTCGAATGGTTCACTGCCTCAAGCTGTCCAAGCTACATCCACATATTTAAATCTCAAGCAATCAGCCTTTGTACAATAAGTATATACTTCATACCCAATAATGTGTTCGAAGCACCGGACACTCGCTTTTCGCCCTCTCAATTTCGTAAACCACACGATGCTACGAGGAAGTAATGAATAATACTTCTCTGACAATGGTTACACATGTGGAAGTATTTTATAAGTGAGCTTTCCCCATTCTCGACCGTACCAGGGCATTCGGGGACCACGACCACACATATAACTGGTTAATTATTGGCTTTCGCTCCATGTGTAATGAAAATCCGCACTGTATCTATTTTTTGTTTTTAATCTCGGTAGTGTTTAGTCCCATTTTCTAGTCTAGATTCTTTTAGTGCGATTATCTCATTGGTTATTTTTCTATTGATTAGTCAAACATATCACTGTCATGAATGTCACTTAATGTGATTAAAAAATTCGGTAACATTAAAACTTTTTATTTTGGCGTTTCAGAAATAATGACTATCGTATTAGGCATCGAAGGTAGTGCCAACAAATTGGGCGTCGGAATAGTTCGTGATGGATCAGTGCTTGCGAATCCTAGAGTAACATACATCACTCCACCTGGTGAAGGTTTCCAGCCAACAGAAACAGCCAAATTTCATCGGTCTCACATTATTGAACTTGTTCAGAAAGCCATTAACGAGGCGAAAGTTGACCCTTGCGAATTGGATGCAGTTGCTTACACTAAGGTTTGTTTGGACAAATTTACCCGACTGTACGTGATAATATTTTGTAGTAGTTTTGATTCTGATTCTTTGTGTCACTATAATTCCGAGGGAAATTATAATCATCTTAGTGTAACTTCATTTCGAGATATTGATTTTTACTTTATTTTTAAACAAATATTTTTACAAATAGGAACCAAAATAGGAAAATAAGTTTATTGTGGAGTAGGTGTAAATGAATGAGAATAAGTGCATGAGGGTAGTATATACTGGGAAAAGCAGTTCAGTAAAAAAATACATCCAGAAAGAATCTTCTCAATTAAAGAAGTTCCTCTCACTCTTATAATGTGTGTCAAAGAAAATCACAGTAGTATTTCTGTAGTATTTTATTATAAACCGTATTTGGATAACGTTACAAACCACTAAGTTTTACTATTTCTCTGATCCCAACCAGGGAGTCGTGATATGGTAACAGATGAGAATCTTGTACAGCTTTCTTTTTGCATTGGCACCGTATCACAAAATAACCACTTTTCTGGTTTTTTCTAAATAATTCCATTGTCAGTCCATAATGTACGATGCAGAATTCTGTAAAGTAGCTTTCGTAAAACATGTCAAAGTCACTGAGACCTGTGTGTTAAGGTTGGAACACTGATTGAATTATCATCACTATGTCCAAACCTCCTAATTACTTACTTGTTGTTGCCACTGAATATCAGCGATTCCTTGGAGTCGATGCTGATCAAACACAACTAGTTGTCTAAGATCTTCAATTGGGAGAGACAAGGTTCCAAGAGCATAAGGCAAAACTGCTCTCACTAACGCGTACTAGACCCAAGATATCTATGTATATTTAGATTTTCCTCAACACCAATTCTGCTTTCCAAGACGGTAATGATAGCTTCAGCCGCATTAGTGTACGCTTCCCATTCAGTCAGTGAGCTGCAGGCTTCCAATTAGAAAGACAGAAGGCCAGATGGGCGATCCTAAGCACTTTCTAATGTTCTGATTGTGCGCCACATCTATTCCAAATGGTTTCAGTGGTCGTGATGTAAATTACAGCCAATAGAATCACTTCTGTCAATCCTATGTAATCCAAAGGACAAAATGACAAAAGAAGAAAAACCAAATATCATCTACAAATTAAACTGCTCAGACTATGGAAAACACTACATAAGACAGAGTGGACGTCCTCTTCAGCCTCATCTGTGTGAACATCAATTAACAGTCAAACGTCATGACATTTCTTCCCTTATATCAATACATATGGACATACGTTCGATTGGAATAATGTTGAAATACTGGATAAAGAGAGCACTACGAACACTGGAGAATTTTTAGAAACTTGGCACTCAAGTCAATCAGCAATCAACAAACACATTGACATTGATCTAATTTGTCAACCAATTGGAAAAGTCATAGAAGATAGGATCAAGAAACAGATCGAAGGGGTATTCAATCAAAATAACGGTACAGACAACGACAGGTTTAAGGTCAATAACAACCAATCAAGACCGAGTTCAATAGATTAAGTTGCAAGCCATGGAGAAATTCGCATACATCACTTCACAGTTTGTGCTGATGATGTTCAGAAGAACGATGAAAGCTCCACAACTAAAAGATCCAGCTCAGAGAACAAAGCTTCATCACAATCATCCACTTGAGCTACGAATTTTCTCCACCATCTCACCACATATTAATCTTTATAATTTTCCTATACGAATTGACTAAATCATTTTGTGAAACCAACACGGCATTTTGTACTTTGTAAATGGAATCCTGGAATAACTGTATTATCAGTCGTTTACTTGTGCTTTGTGTTGTAAGATATATCACAATATGCACTATGGTGGTGATTCTTCAGTCATGAGTGCGTACATTATACGAACATTTGTCTTTTTGTCCTAGTGGGTTTATTCATAAAGTAACATATGTTTGAAAGTATACTAGTTTACTTTCATTTTTAAACAATTACGTTGCCTGACAAGTTCTCGACATTTTGTGTGAATTACTGCTAAAGTCTCTATGGTCATCTTTGTATGATGCTTAAATTAGATTCTAATCTCTTGAAACGATAACACTTTTGTTAGCCAACTGTAATCTCACTAACTTGGGTAATTTAATAAATAAAGATAATAATTAGTCGTATGTACGATATAACCGGTACTCCTAGTCTATATTTGTGTTAATAATTCGAAGCTGTTTACTGCTTGGGATGCACCGCATTTTCTCAGGTCATTGAAGTAGTTAGAATTCACTTGTTCCAGAATGCAAACTGTCTTAGTGTTATAAAGCTGTTCAGCCCCATATTTTTCTTGAAACGTTATTCAGTTTGTTATTGATGAATGACTCATCAACATTCCATAAATGTTATTTGTGATCTTGTTGCTACATAGATTGCGAGAATGATTGTCAATCCTTTTTGTGCGTAACTGCTATACACTCACATTATGTGTCATGCGCAAGCTATACATCATGCTTTCAGTTTCTCTGATGTTCTACTAAAATTATCACTCAAATTACCTATTTTTTTAAGGCTTATTTCTTTTGTTATCTTAATATGAAAGTAAGACAAATATACCGACCAATAGCTTTCATTCATTACAATCGTTTACCCTAACAGTGCTTATCAAAATATTTTTGTTATTACTGTGGTTACTTTGATCTATTGTAATTATAATATAAGGTTTTCGTTGAATAGACTTGTCTTAATAAAGATGCTGGTTTATTGATTGCGACTTTCAACTTTCAACCAAGGCCCAGGTTCAAGCCCCATCCTACCTACTTCGATTTTGACACCCGGCTGGTGTCACTGGCCTTCATACACAAGGTGTGAGGCTGTAAACTAAATATAAAAATGTGTACTTCATCAGTCACATCACTATTACATTTAGCAGCACTTGTTGTCAGTGTTTGTTACAAAAGTTGTAATTTTTAATGATTCCTGTTGGTTAGCTCAAGTGAATGATTACTGTTGTATAATTCAGTTTATTTCGGTAAGCACTTCGAAGATCAAGATTTCTTGAATTAATAAGTTTGTTCTGTAACAGTAATACTGTCATCACTTACTCTAACTTTCAGTGAGCATGTAAATTTCACTCATCCACTGACTATCTACAGAAATCACTAAACCTTCATTGACATTTGATTGTACTTTGTTGGATTATGTGTTAAAGTTTCTAATTTAACATGCAAGTCACCCTCATTACTTCCTTACTAAAATTATTATTGAAATGTCAGCATGTCTGACTTAAAACGTGACTTACTAGTAAAAATGTTTTATATATTTGAGATTATTATCGTTCTTCTTAATGCTTCTTGTTATGTTCTAATAATTTAAGTGTACATATACTGTTATAAAATTCAGTTTAGTTCAGAAAAAATGTTCAGGATTGAAATTGTTTCAACAACCAGTCTCATTTCCATATTTATATATATTTATTATTAATATTATTATCCACATAGATGTTTCAGGGATATTCATTCAGCAGTTCATCTACTGATTATATGCGAATATTATTAATTTTTCGTGGCAACGAAATAATACCGATAGTGCTTCTTCATCACTAATCATATACATAGTTCCATATCTTTGGATAGTTTAAATTACAAGGTCCCACCACTAACACATCTAATTATACTTTAGTGATTAATTTCTTGTTGCAATCGTTAGACTAGGACAATTGTAATTATAAGCTATTGCATTAATTTAGGAAATATTTTCAATTTAATGATTTGTACACTTACAAATCACCAAACATAACACTCAGTCAAAGCTGAATAGACTGTATTGGATCTTGGTGATTAGATATAGTTAACAACTAATTGTATAATTTCATTAGAGTACAAAATTGTTATATCCGAATGAAGATTGAGGTAGAAACTTATGCGACCAATTTATGAACTAAAGATGTATGTAATCTGGTTGTATAATTATTAATTAACTAGGCTATCAGGTATGTATATGTATATATCCCTTTTATCGTAAGCTTTCTATTAACTCACGAGTTATTACCATACTATCTCCCCTACTCACAGCCGCCTCTAGCCTATTCATGTATAGCTGTTAATTTCCGTTTGTTGGTGCAATATGGTCTGGTTTTGTGTGTATATGAAGGAGTATCTGAAATATAGTAATGAATTTTGGAATGGTTGTCGTTGGTCTTCGTTCTTTCTTGTTGATTGAGCTAGGTAATACTGGGCCTTCCTTCAAGCATAGAGTAGCGAGTCTCGTGCTTGTTACATATTGGTTACTGAAATGTCTTCTGTTTCGGCTCATGTAAATGACACAATAAAAATGTGTCCGCTGGCGTCCCTGGGTAATACGTAAATCAATCACCGTCCCTATTGTGCTTATTATTATGTACATATATTTTTATAAAATCCCATTTCCGTTTTCAGGGTCCTGGTATGGGTGCTCCTCTTCTCACTGTTGCAGTTGTTGCTCGTACTCTTGCTCAATTATGGAATAAACCTTTGATTGGAGTTAATCATTGCATAGCACACATTGAAATGGGTCGTCTTATCACTGGTGCAAAATCGCCCATCATATTGTATGTCAGCGGTGGTAATACACAAATTATTGCTTTTGTTTCTGGGCGTTATCGAATTTTCGGAGAAACGATCGATATAACATTGGGAAATTGTTTTGATAGGTTGGTTTATGCTATTAAATTAAACCTATCTAACTTGTAACATACTACTTATCAATCATCACTTTTCCAAACAAACCTTAATCGAAGTTCTATGTCTTGAATACTTTCTGTTGTATTCTGTATTTTGGGATTATTTAGTATTAATATGCCAATTCTTATAAATTAAGGAAACACTGTTTTGCAAACCTCGCTAATTACTCCTTTGGTGTGTTTCAATGAGTTTGACATTTTTACTACTTCCAAAAGTGATTCATCTGTTTCTTTCTCATAATTTCCGTCTCTCAAAGTTCAAGAATTAATTTTTTATTACAAGTTACAGCCAAGTATTACGCAGTCGAAACCTTGCTTAGGTTGTAGTGAGAAGTTTATCGGTCAGTACTGAGCAACGAAATGTAGTCAGGTGGTGGATCCCAGCGAATCTTAGACATCATAAATGTTGTTTATCGTACTGATCATGGAAGAATGGAAGTTGGATGCAATATTGGTTATGCTACTTATTGCAGCTAGTGAAGTAGCTTGATAGGAAATTCATTTGAAAGACGTCCCTTCACTCAATTTTATTATTAAATTAGTTTGAGAATACAAAAATGTCTAAGCCTGCCAAGATTAAACCTGGCATATTTATGATTAGGTAATCTGAGTTTTATTCCTATTAGTATATGTGTAGGCTTCGGGATAAGTAATTGAGCGATATATGGTAAAAATGATCCACTCAGTACGTGTATGTTTTTGTAAAACCATCTTAACTAGGTTGCAAATGTCACACGGTTTGTCTCAGTTTTTGGACAAATTAGATAACTTTTTCTGCCCGAGTCATTTTTCACTCATCTTTCGACCTTGTTATTTTTTCGCTTATAACCTTGGCTCAGTCGCCTCCACTTCGTTTCAACTTGTCTTCACGCTAATGTCTGCTTGCGTGAACGATCTCATTAAAATAAATTCATCCGCAAAACCGTATTCGGCTTCTTATTATCACTATCACACAAACGGGGTCCTCCTATGTATGACATACGGAATTTGAAGGGGAGATTTATTCCATAACCTACTTGACTCTTCGTCCAAACTGGATTCAGATCGCGGGCCACTTAAGGGGTGAGCCCCACTTCGAATTCAACGCAGTTACTAAGAGTTATTAAGCGTTTCGTCTAACTCGTTTTCAGTCAGAGAAAACTTAGACTATTTTTATCTTCGAAGTTTTAATTAGATATGAGATGCACATTGTAAATTTCCAATTCTTCAGAGGTGTTAGTGTCTGTTTTGTAGTTCAAAATGTCTTTGGCACAATTCAGGATATCACGAGAAAGAGAGGACTCCACTACAAAATGCACCTCAAGCGACGCGATCTAATTTGTAAACAGTACTATATCAAGTTATGTCTTATATTCAAAGCAACAGGCATAAGTTCATAGTAGACTATAAAAGTGCGGGTTTTCGGATCATTTTGTATAAAATACGCAATATACAGAAACAGTGAGGGTTAGTTTTTATTAAAGTCATGAATCGACCAATGTTAGACTACCATTTTAACTCTGGACACTAAACTCTGGCACCAAACGACCATTTTACCTAGTATGGAACTCATTAACAGCCCTCTCTGACGAACACCTAACCTCTAGATCACTAAGCCAGCATCTGACAGTGTTAATGTCTAAGTTTGATCAATCTTTGGTATCGCACGTACTCATCCAATGTCTTTGGTGGTCGACAGCTATACATTCGACTCATTTGAACTCCACTGGTCATGGCTTCTAACTAGGACTCTGAGGATTTCCTCTCGAAGCTAGTCACTAGTCAGCAGATGATAATTTTCATTATAGTTCTGTGGCGATCGTTGAGCTTCATTGAAATCATGAATCGAACAATGTTAGACCACCTTCAGAAACCTGGAAGCACTGGACAGCCGTTTCACCTAAGTATGGGACTCATCAGCAGTGCATATCCACAATCCATGCTTGCGGGGATCGAAGTTAGACATTAATATTGTCAGATGTCAGCTTTTTGGTAAAGGGATGAGGGTTCGCGCTCAAAACCGAAGGTCCTGGGTCTGACTCCCGCACTCAGGGGTTGTGAATACACACTTCTGATGAGTTCCATACTACGATGAATCAGCCGTCCGGTGCTTCCACGTTTCTAATGGTGGTCTAAAATCAATTGATTTATTATTTCGATGAAACTCAACAATCTCCATAACTTTATCATAAAAGTACTCTAGTTTTTCGAAATTATGTTGATGATTTGACGTCATGACGATTTGAGACGTTTTTAACTAATTATATTGGTATGGTCCTGTGGAAGGTTATTTTAGCAGTTGACCATAATAATAATTTCTATTAATATGGTAACCATGATATCTCTTTTTCCATTAGTGGCAATGGTCATAACTTTTGTCTTTAGTAAAAATCAGTATTTTTTCTGATTGACACTTGTTTCATAAAAAATCGATTTATTTTCTCTTGTAAAGGTGAAACTGTTTGCTTAACAAATTACTTTTAAATTTTTTTGGCCTATCGCTTGAAAAATAATACACTAACAGCTGTCCGAACGCCTACGAACGCAATTTTCAGACTCTGGATACGAGCCCCGCTGGTGCGGCATGCCAATCCGATAGACAAACTTGGCACGTCAACTCGAGCAGCAAACCTGGCGCGTTACTACTGGTACAGTTCAACGTAGAAGACTATCGGTGACAACTCGAGCTTCATTGGTCGCTTCCTGTTCGTCAACCCTTCCGCGCTAAAACCAAATGTTGGCCGACCAGCCCCCCGTCAAACGTAGCCGCTATGTATCGAAAGTGTAAACCCTTTCTAGGCGGGGGCTGCTGTAGTGGAACGCTTCTACGAAGAAAATGCGATTTTTGAAATGTGAACATTATTGTATTCGCTGTGTTTAATTGTACCAAAAACACTTCTTCGACTTCTTGCGCGCAACGTTCTCTTCGCGTTGCCGCCATGTTTCTTTATTTGCTGCTCCCTATGTAACGCCAACGTTCTCCTTTAATAAACCACTGAACTATGGATTTATTTTGTTCTCCTTTTTATCACGCAACCATATGGAAAATTTAGTGGTGGGCATAGTCAAGCTGGTTTCCGGACTCGCTCACTAAAATGTAAACAAGACTCAGTTTCTAGGAACGTTTAATTGACAATGTAAAAACTACCTCCACAACTATTTGGATCCAATTACTTACCGTTCACAGTGAAACAGCGGCTTTCCTATGAAAAGCCTAAACACGTGTTTTGAAGGTGTTGTGTTTGTTCATCTAGATGATTGCTTTGAAGTATGTTTTGATGTTGTCTAGAGGGATAATGCAGACCTCATAACTAGGTCATTTATCTTCACACCTCCGAAATCTTCATTTTAAGCTACTAATACTCACCAAAATAACCGTCAATGTTTGCTTCTAAGATAGTGAATAGTACAGTCAGCATAATATGGATTTTGTTTGCTTAGGTGATTCACCTTGCAAGTTATGATTGATACGATTACAGGTTGAAAATTTTCTCTGGGTGGAATGTAGCTTCAACTACTTGGTTCCACGAATGCCACGTGGTCAACTCGTTTAGTTTTATGTGAATCATTTCATCCCAGTTTTTCGTTTTCATATTCATAACTATTCAAATGTCAGTTTAAAGGAAACCTCAGTAGGAAGTAAAAAAAACAAATGGCTTTTCGCAATGATTTCTGGATCAATATATTTTTCTCGCATATACGAAGATGATTAGGATGATTTAGCGTCTAATGCAGCTCCAACTTGTACGGTACGTTGTTTAACCATTAGGAAAAGGATATTTGTAGTGAGAAATTGAAAAACGTAAGTTATTTCATGTAAGTTGACAAATGGAAGTGATTGTTAGATACCTGCCATTTAAGACTCACCGCATCTATGTTCAAAAGAGGAACTTAGCCTTACCCAGCGAGTAAAGTCCACCTAACATTTCGCACCATACGATGCAGCTACTTCAGGTGTATAGTTTGTGTCGAGAGAGTAAGCGTGATCTTGAACAGAATAAAAATACTCGGTGCCCTAAGTAATATGAAGAATATTCGAGGGATACACTCATCATTAAGATGACTCTGTGTATACCCGATAGATACAGTACTAATAACATTTTTTCAGAGAGCAGCTTGTTTATTTTAGTGACTAACATAACATAGCAGGTCGAGAACAGAAGTGTTAGTACAAGTCGTTCACACTCCTATCAATGCTGACCTTAATAGTTCCACTAACGATGACTGGGCTTTAGTTTTTGTGGGTACCCGGAGCGATGTTTTTTTGCCAGGTCAGAATAGATTATGACTGACATCAATGCAATTATTCAAGACAACTTAACACTGGAAGTAGTACAAATATCAATACCCTGAGAGCCATAGGCAGCTTATTCGATGCTCGGGTTTGGTCGGAGAACTAACAGTTCGCTAAGTTAAGCAGATTTTTGGCCCTTGCATTGTATGTGAATCGTCTGCACTCCTGAATTGCCAAGGCTAGATTAACTGAAGTGGGTTAAGGTATACAGGTATGTACCACTGATCTGCAGTTTATGTTTCTTAAGATTATAAACTAATCGAATAGTGAGCGAGATGCGCAAATCTAGCGTACTCTGGTTTCGTCGTAAACTTACTCATATCGTATGCATTTTTGGATCGAGTATTCATGGTCACATGTGCACGGAACACATTTTCCATTTAGCTGTTTTTCCTTTAGAATAAATCGGCGCAAGTTCTCGACACACAAACAGTAAGTTAATTACGAAGGAATTTTCAATCCTAGGGCAGAACTAGCGCTCCTAGACTGGATCCCATTAGATAGTCGCTTTGCTCCGTCCGACTAAACGGGACAGTAAGGACTCGAAAAGATAGGGACAATCGCCGTTGCCTCTTCGTCGTATCTGCTTACGCTCCCACTGACTACAGTTCAGACGAGGTGAAAGATGAGTTTTACAGAAAGCTTTCGGACCTCATCCAAAAAGTTAGGCACTCTGATATAGTAATAATGGCTAGTGACTTTCATGCTCAAGTAGGTAGACTTAGTGCAAAGGAAAGACACCTGGGTGGATGTTATGGTGTCGTGGCTCAGAGTACAGAAAATGACGACTGCCTGTTGCAAATATGCTCAGATGACCGCCTATTTCTAGCAAACACTAACTTTGAGCATCTCTCGAGACGGCGACCCAGAAAATCACCACGACGCTGGGCCTAACTAGATCATATTTCCATCAGCCACCGATGGAGAGGCTCGATAGATGACTGTCGCTCGTTCTGGGGCAGATGTCTGGATTCAGGTCATGCTATAGTGCGAGCACTTATTGGTTTGCGACTTACTGGACGTTGGAGAGACACCGACAGAAAAACTCAGGACTCTACCTAACGATAGCATAGTGAAGAATATATTTCACGCGCAACTGTAAAGACAGGCGACCATATAAGTGATTCTCTTCAGGAGGCAGCTTGGGATAATATCAAAAATGATGTGGAAACTGCAGCGATATTTGCTAGTAAGGTAAACCGTATGTTTAGGAAGGATCCGTGGGTCTCAGTAGCACCTACCGAACTGGTGGATGCCCAAAATCTTATCCCCTGGGCTGTGAACACGAAGAGCGAAGTCAGTTTAAGGACAGG